TGTGAGCAAAGACAGGATTCCAGGTGGACATAAACAAGACAGACGTCATAAAGATGACTAACTAACAGCAACAGCAAAAAAAACAATTAACACTGAACACTATCAAAGGAAGAGATTTATTAGAGATTACCTCCTCCAGTTGTCTAGGCAGCCGACATCGTTTCAACTACAGGTATTCGGAACGGATGAAGATGTCACAGATGGCCAGGCATAATCGGGAAAGGTAAGAGGAGCACGCCTTCATCAACCTGAAACCAGTTTGGAAATCTTCTGTACTACGGCTCAGCATCACAAATGTGAAGTCAGTCGGTCAGTCAATTCTTCTATACGGGTAGGAAACACGACCAGCGTGTCACAAAAAGGATTTTCAACAGGCTGTAGACCTTCGTCAGAAGCTGCCTGATTCGTTGGCTGGCTCCATACTGAAGATCAACTGGTTGACCAGAAAGCATTAACATCAGGCAACTCTGGCTAGCTGGCTGGCTGGCTGGCTGGAAACAAATCAACCAACGAAGAGGCGATCGCTCAACAAAAGAGTAGGAGAAAATGGAGATGGATTGATCGTACATACATTGAGGAGGCGGTCGAATGGATATTACTCATCGGTCCATCGTTCGACTGGAATCCCAATGGGGAGCGACGAGTAGGTTGTCGGTGTGAGAGTGACATGGAAGTGATCGTGTGAGTTGGGGGAGGAGCCGAGCTGAAGAGGACAGCAGAGAATAGAAGAAGGTGGAAATGTGTTGTTGAAGCCAGCCGTATGTTCCACTCGGAACTCAAGGGAATAATAATATCATTATTAATAATCCCTAATTAATCACTCACTGTAGTGTAGAAAAATGTCTATATTTGACAAACATTTTAATACCTTTATGCCGTAAAACCTGTCTGACTGGTAGATTATAAAGATTAGCTAATCAAAATTTTTCATAAAATGCACAATTTGTACCTCCAACTGTGTAGAATTGCTTTGTAAGAAAAATAGCAAAAAATGTTGATCGTCTAGAATTTTGAAACCCCACAGTCTTTATGTTTTATAATAAAATTATTCACTTGTGTGTACTACAGCCGTCTTATATTCAAATAGATTGAATCTACCATCTCATGTAATAAGGATTGTTTTTACGCTTTTTGACATAAGATGTGGAATCCATAAGGACTGGTGTTGTAGGTTTACTTCACATAAATACACACACACACACACACACGTAAAAACACAGAGGATTGTCTGGCTGCATCAATCATTGTTTCTCTCCTTTGTCTTTCTAAATTTAGTCCAAAAATTAAAGCGAACTCTTTAGCGAACTTTTTGATGTAAACTAATATATTTCAAAATATTTCCGATAAAGGCAACCAAAAATTTTGTTACCATAAATAAAATGTTTATATACTTTTTGGTGAAGATGAGGCTTCCTGTTGTGAATTAAACGAAACATGTTAACTGTAAATAGTAGTGCTCTCTGAGCTGGTCGCTTCAATTGCGGAGCCTTCGTCTTCCCCCTTCTGGACAACATCCCTTTTCAGCGTAATGTTTAGCATAAAGTGAACTGATTTAAATTCTGCATCAGTGAAAGAATTGCGTCTCCCAGTAACCATCTTTACATATGTATTGATCATTTTCTATTGACTTGCAATCTAAACTTTCTGGTCACATGATTCACTCACTTTCAGTTGGTATATTTGGTCTATATTGACGTGTTTGTTAATTGTATATTCGTTTAAGTACCAGGCTTCTAGGACTATTCCCCGACTGCACTTTTGGTGTTTCCTCTGTCTAAAATTTCGGCATTATCCTAATCAAACTGATGTCCATAATTATCTACATGGATTGATATGAAAGAATATATATCATGTCTTTTCACAGCTAATTTGTGTTATTGGATTCTGATTCGAAGGGGACGCCCACTTTGGCCGATGTAATTTCTGTTATAGTTCATACAATTCATTTTGTAAACGGTATTAATTTTATCTCCTTTTTCTGTTGGATGTGTCTTTCGGTTTGCACAATGTCGAATGAAGTGATTGTGTTGGCTGGCTGGCTGGCTGGCTTGTATGCTATATCTGTATCAAACGGTTTCAGTATTCTAGCTGTTATTTCAGAGATATTTCTCATGTATGGTAGGATGAATTTTCTTGTGTTCTTTGATGATGGTTCCTTGTTGGTGTTGTGACTTGATTTTAAACTCATTTTGGTGAGATTTTGTGGATAACCATTCTTTTTCAAGACCGCTAGTAGATATTTTTCTTTCATTCTTTTCAACGCTGGAGTGATACAGTATGTTTGAATTCTTTTAAATAATGTCTGCACACAGTTTCTTTTGTGAGTAATTCGTTTATTGCTAGCATAGTTGAGTATTTGATCTGTGTGTGTGTGTGTTAATTGTGTCAATGACACTCCAGGTGTTTGACAAATAATTAGTACGACCCTAGAACTAGAGTCAAAAATTATCGGGCAGTCGCAACGTCTTATATCAGTTCAAAGTGTATCTGAGTGAATGTTTTTATGGTTACCTTGATAATGCTTTATTTGTATATATATTCTCATAACTGGTTTAATGTTTATATCATGATCAAGTGACGTGTTATGCTATCATCTTTCTGTTTAGCCTCATTGGAAGTTAACGCAATCACTGATATCTAAAGATTATGGGTTTGTAAACCACAATTTTGATAAGGAAAAAAAATCCAAAAGGCATACTTTTTGTTAAATGCACTTTGATACTTGACTGTTCACCGTTTTTTTTTTATTTTTGCTGTACCTAACTGGTCACATAGTGGACGCCTGAACTGGCTTGTATATAACTTTGACTTGGGCATACATTTTCTATTTGAGAAAGCTTATACATCATGGTGTGAAAATTCTTTTTTCTGTCTTAATTCCTCCTAATAATATTTAGAGAAATGTCTTGGAGTGTCTTCCACATTTCAAACTGTTTTGGAGTGACTGCTTTGAGACCAATTAGGACAAAGAAAGGGGAGGACACTAACTAGTGTCATGTCTATAGTCCTTTGTTTTCTGCAGACTGAATGTTATCAGTCAAGTTTGAAATGTAGCCACCATTCTGGGTGAATCGCCATCAAGGAGAACTCAGGATTCTCGTTATATTATATGGTTGGAGGCGATCAGCAAGAAGCCTTGCACCTAGTTTTTGTACTACCTGGATTTCGTCAACATGGGATATCTGCAATATTGAAGCAACTCAGTCCCCTCACCCTTCCGAATAAAAGTCAGTCTCCACCAGACAAAGGATCGGAAGCATGACACTGGTTACTAACAGTAAGTGTGCAATCGAAGTATCCAATACAGCTCTACAGGAGGTCAGTCGTGAGCCCTAATAATTCATTGGTAACGTCTCTAACTGCAACACTGAATGACACAAGTTTGACTCCTAGGGAGAACATGATTCCCCTCAAGATTGCATGAACTTCTTTCGGATGAGTGCAAACAAGCACAAAACTTTAATCTTAAGCTTCCTGTCGACTGCCTCCAACCATGCAATAACAACAAACCAGGGCAGGTCAAAGTACACTGGAATAAGGAAATCTTACTTAGAACTATTATTTTTTTAAAGCGCCTTACTAGCCTTCTTTATACTTCAGATGCATGTGCGTTAGCAGGTATCTGTTTTATGTTCAGTGTGTTCTGTGAATTCGTTTATTTTTATTTCAGAAGACTAGTACTTTAGCGAAGAGTCTGTTTTCGGCTGTGAATTCATTTTCATAGCTGTATATACGTGGTTGTTTTGTATGTGTGTGTACATTAAATTTGTCAAACGAAAATACAGTTAGTAAGTTCAGATGAATTGGATGTTGATATAAAAAGGTAGTAAAAAAAGTGATGAGTTGTCATAAACGATTTTTCAAGAAGAGTTACGTAATAACATGAATAGTTTGATGAAAGAGTTGTACTCAGGGTGTACATGGAGACAAAATAACATACGGTAATACACAAGAGTTTTAATTAGGTAGAAAAATAAGCATACAAGCAAGAGTTAAGTCAAATCAACAGAGTTGTTAGCATAACAGTAGAGGCGCTTGAATAATTTTCTGTAGTATGCATAGTTCTGGTACTTTCAACTGAATGACTAGGGCTTCTGCAGTGCTAAGAAGACGTAAACCTATTGTCTTTGGCAGGTTGTTCTTCAATTTGTAGATTACTTTGAAGCAGGAGGCGTTTGTTGAGATGGAATGACCAGTGGTGACGAGATGTCTGATTATTGGACTCCTTATACGGCCACGCTGGATAGTGTTCTTTTACCGTTTTTGACAAGATGCGCGTTGAACGACCGATGTACCTGGCTGGCTCCACAGCAACAGGTGAACTGATATATACTCATAGAAGTGGTCAAGTGCAGGATCTTGTCGTTTGGGCTTCTGCAAGTCAGCGGGCGACTGGAGAACACTACTCTCAATGTTACCGTAAAGAAACTTCTTATTTAAAGCACTGGACATTCTCCTCCACCAGTACATCGCTGAGTAGGTCACCTTTGTATCAACATCCAGTTAATCTGAACTTACAGGATTTCATCATGGGCTGACATCAGTTAGAGAACCATTGTAAAACCTTGGAGTACTAGAAAGCTGTTTCCGTTATCCTAGTTTGAGACTCTTCAGCAGTACGCACCCACCGAGGTTCGAACCCAGGACCTTCTGGTTACAAGGCAAGCTCTTATAGCACACAAACTAGGACGAAACAGTTGTTCAGTACTCCCAGGTTTTCCAATGGTTCTCTAACCAATGTCAGCCCATGATGAAGTCCTGTAACCAATCAGTCAAATGCCCATAAACCAACACTTAAATAGCCTGAACTTACTAATTGTATTTTCGTTTATTTTTATTATAAAATCTTAAAGTTAGCAAGTTAGAATGATGAAATCCACTCATTGGTTCACGTCTATCCGTGCATACTGTAAACGATTAATGTGCAATTGTCAAATGCATATAAATAACTAACATTTCACGGTGTATTTATGGTCTTTTGTTTCCTTTTATTTGTTTAGGAATCATACACAACGTTTCATTTCAATGTTCTACTGCTTTTTAATATTCGCCATCGGTTTGTCAATCACACTGTATAATACTGGAAAAAAAGTGGTAGAAAAAGAAAGCTCATTTGTGGTAAGTTAATAAATTAATAATTAATTAATTAATTAAAAGTCAATCTGAACTAAGAATATTCTTTTCAATAATTTCTCCTCTTCAAGTTCTTACAATTGTAAAATATAATATTTATGGTCGTTACAATAAAGGCCAGTTATGCAGAGGATACATTTTCGTTAACGTAGAATAATAGATTAGCAGTTATCGTGTGTCAAAATAAATAGTCGTATTTGTATGACAAACGTTGTGCTAGGTTGAAATCGATCACTAAATATTATAAGACGGGAGACAATTGTGAAGATTAATCATAATAGATTGGCAGAAAACTGACAAGTCAGTTCAAGGTTATAAAAGGTGTCAGGTGAGTGAGTGGCTAGTACAAAGCGGTATGTATTAAAGAGGAGAGTAAGACTGTAATGCGAGGTTCATAATGAAATAACGAATGTGTGAAATGAAACAGATGGAGGCATATATTGAGAGAAAAGATAATATCACTGATACGAAGTCTGGATAGTATAAATGAAATATTCGATAGTATTGAGGGAATGTTTGCATGAAGGACATAAATTATGACGAATAATAATAATAACTGTAATAATAATATTTGTAATAATAAACCAAGAGGGTTAAGAGGAAGGAGTACTCTTGGTGAGAAGAAGAATCATCAATCCAAGTCTGGCCACGGTAGGAACAGCGTCTGAACGTTTTCTTTTTGGATACAAAGTTCCGGTTTAGTCGATGTTATTGCAACAGCTTCAGCTGTGTCTAGGCTCTGTAAGTGAACTGTCTGTGATAACGACTTCGGAATTCGGTATATAACCCTGAAAGCTGTATTGACATCGATGCGATGTCCAGTATCGACAAAGTGTGACAGGACCGAGCTTTTTATGCACTTAATTTCCCTCCTGCTGAACCAAGCTGGTAAATGTTCTCGAACCCGTAGACGAACCTGCCTAATCGTAAACCCTATATAGCTTGAAACACAGGAACAATTGAAATGGTATATACCGGCAACAAATATTATAGTCTATAACTGTAAGAACCTGAAGAGAAATTACTGGAAAATATATTCTTCGTTCAGATTGACTTTTAATTCATAATATGGAAATATTTCACACTATCAAATTAATTAACTAATTAATTGACAAAATTCCTCTAGTCATCTACACTTAACTCATTTAAAACTTCGTTTTGTATAGTTGGAACATAATATACGTTGAATAATTTTTGTACTATCGACCATTTTCACTTAGTCGGTCAACATATTTTGCAATGAGAATGACGTGGCTAGAATTCAGTCTGCACGAAAGAAAGGACTAGACACATCACACTAGTTACTAGTGTCCAATCAAAATACCCACCACAGTCCTACAGGAGGTCGATAGCGAGCCCGAATAGCTCAGTGGTAACGTCTCTGACTGGAGCACAGGGTGACGCCGATTTGATTCTCAGAAGGGACATAAGTTTCTTTAAGCTAGTTGCAGATGCGCCTTACTGACCGGTGAGTGCCTACCAGCACGAAACCTAGGTGCAAGGCTTCCTGTGGTGGATTGCATTCTATAAAGATGACATACTTGGCCTTTAATCAGAGAAGTGAATATGCTAAGTATCAATTATTCAAAAGTCAGTTACATACATAGTCAGAAGCGTTTTATTTTGACAAATAGACATACTCAAGTAAAATCAGGGAAATGTAGACCATCCAGGTTAGAGAACACAAATACACCAGTATCATCTATCTGAGGCTACAAATCTAAAATGCAGACAGTCGTATCAAGATTCATTTTAACTAATAAGTAAAGCAATTAGCAGAAATTTCTAAATTTTGTTGCAGAAATAATAGAAGACCAGAATCGAGAAACTCTATCATCCGGATATATGCAACTAAAGATTCCAAGTTTGTCCCAATTAAGGCACAAAACTAAGTTAATTATCGTCATCTAACTTTTACTGTGATAAAACAATGCTGTGTTTGAAATCACTCTCAAAATCTGTGTATTTTTCATCTTGACTATCGACATCAGTACGGAAAGTGTATATACTGCTGCCTCACCAGGATGCAGTCGCCTGTCTGTCACTACACCAACTTCACAACCAAAATTCCATTTAACCGACGCAAAACTCTATTATAGTTATAAGAAACTAAGTGTTATAATCATTAGCAGTGAAGACGATTGAAATCACATTCCTTTAGACAAACAGGAAGATAGATCAGTATAAACATTTTCATAAAAGTTCGTTAGTTGCATGTTAAACATCATGTCCAAACCAAGTTCACTTTTAATAGTGTGAAAATATTTGCGCATTGATGTTCACTATAATAAAGGTTTTCTTGTATTTCCCAACGAATGAATGAAAAAACAAAACGATATTGTTGTTTTTACTGACATTTCGCTATTCAATGCTGTTGCTAATAGCTTTATCGAAGTATTATTAAACCAGAATTGAAAAAGACCACTCAGCTTACGTATAACAAACAACTTAATCATCCTTCTTCAGCATGAGGGCATTTTTGCGTTGTCAAATTGGCCATTTGGTTAAGACAACAAAACCAGGTGTAGATTGTTGGATTTAATAGATGTATAAAATTATTAAGGCAGCGTGTGTTTCGTGCGTTAGTGGCGCAGTGGTTAGGACGCTCGCCGATCATGCACATGGTCCGAGGTTCGATCCTCGGCCACCGACGCACTCCTTTACCTCGCTAAGCCAGAAATAATTCTGGCTAAGTGGAAAGGTTGTGCATTAGGCTAGCAACCCCATCCTGTAAAATAAACACTGCTGCAGAAACTTCAAGTTACTAGCTTGAGGCCTTATGTTCCGCTGGGAACGTGAAGGTAAGAAAAAAAAGCGTGTGTTGACATAATGAAATTGCTTATCACATTCGTGTTGATGCTGTCACTTCACTGTGGAGGGTGGGGGTTTTGTAACCAGGTCAAATTCTGTTTTAGTCCATCATTTCTATTCAGAAAATTTGGATTGCACTTGATATGAAGTGCTTCTGATGATGTGAGACGTTCTTTTTGATTTGAGAAATGCTTCTTCTGGATTATTTCAATATTGTCAAAGTCAATTTTGTAGCCTGATTCTATAGAGTGTAATAAACCTATGGATTTCTCAGTGGTTGAACAGATGCTCTACGGTGTTCATTTCTTCTGATTTTGATCTCTCTCTAGCGATGTTTGTCTAATGTATATCGCATCACATGCGCAATACATGCTGGACATTTTTGGTCGCATGCACAGTTATCATACATATATAAAAGTTAACAGACAGCGTAAAGGATCAACATTTTATTAATGTAGGTGAAAATGTTTACAAGTCACGATCACAGATAACAACATGTAGATATAAAAGGTAAGCAAATAGAGGAGGGAGGGAAGTGGAAATATAATTAAGTAATATATATTTCGGTTTTAAAACTGGATCACGTTCAAAGTAATAACTTTTGAACACATAAAACAGGTTTAAGCCTTTTTATGACTAAGGCTTCAAAGAATCTGAACATATGACCCAAGCCTGTTTTATATATCATTTTACAAACGCTGTTGAAATCCGCTTTATGAAATGTTTCCGTTAGGTGGTGAGCTATAGACAGTATTGAACATCTATCGACAAGGTTAATTGAATCGGGCATTTTACTTGTTCTTCCAGTCATTGAGAAGGGTACTCTGCAGCCCTAATCAAAACAAGTGATTCAGAGAAGAAGGTTTTTCACCAACGTATTTATTATCAAGCTGTACAATAGCATATGTATGGTCTTAAGAAATTCTATCTGGTGAGGGAATTGAATCGTAGATGTGAATGCATAAAGTAATAATAGTATGAAATTTTCAAGCATTGATTTTGTAGGGAATTTTTTGATTAGTTGGAGGATTTCATCATGAGCTGACATCAGTTAGAGAAACATTGAAAAACCTGGGAGTACTAGACAGCTGTTCCCGTCGTCCTAGTTTGGGACCTGCTCTTCAGCAGTACGCACCCAACGGGGTTGGATTCTAGGACACTCTATTTACAAGACTGGCGAGCTTGTAGACCATTTAGCCACTGGGACACGATCTAATGGTCTACAAGCTTGACTTGTGACCAGAAAGTTCTGGGTTCGAACCCCGGTGGGTGCGTGTTGCTCAAGAGCGGGTCCAAAACAAGAGAAACGAAAATAGCTGTCCAGTACTCCCAAGTCTTCCGATGGTTTTCTAAGTGATGCCAACTCATGATGAAATCCTCCAACCGATCAAATAATACGAAATGCAACTAAAATGTTGGTGATTATAGTCGTAGTTAAATGTCAAGTGGCAGAACATTTATGTCATATATAGAATAATTCATAGGATGTATAAATTTTGGAAACGGGTATGCACTAATGGGATTAGTAGGCAAATCGACGAGTCGGGTATGTAGGGATTTCGGCAGATTACTTTTCTCCTTGTAGTTGACTTTAAAGGCGGAGGCTTTAAAGATAAGGTGATCAGTATCCACCGGATGTTCAGTGGTCGCGCTTCTTATTGTACAACTTCCACCTCTTCGTAGCCGGGTAGGATGCTGTTCTTGCAACCTCTTGGAAAAACTCGAGTCCTATACTTGAGCTTGGAATTCAAAGGCGACTTGCCTTTCGATATCATTTAAAGAAGGATCTTATAGCTTCTGAAAAAGAAAATTCCCTGTTGCATCTTGGAGAATAGCCTTTACTAGTCTGCCAATAACCTGAAGGACAAGATCCCGCTACTGACCAACTCTATGTGCGTTTATCAATTCACCTGCTCGTTTGGAGCTAGGTAAATTGGTCGGTCGACTCGAGTTCTATACATCCTATGAATTATTATATATATATATATAACGTTAATTGTTTTGCCACTTGGCATTTAACTATGATTATAATCACAATCATTTTAGTTTTAATTGCATTTCATACTAATATTATTATTATGATTTTATGCATTCACACCTACGATTCAATTCTCTCACCGGATAGAATTTCTTAAAACCATGCATATGCTATTGTACAGCTTGATAATAAATAC